TTGCTGGGGCTTGGATGATAGGTTTGCTAATGAAGGATAAGCACTTTTCTTTTTTTGAGACAGAATCTTACTCTGCCACCCTGGGTTGAGTGCTGTGGTGTCACACCTCACAGCAACCTCAAACTCATGGGCTCAAGTGATTCTCATGCCTCAACTTCTACAGTAGCTGGGATTATAGGTGCCGACCACAATACTGGCTATTTTTTTTTCTATTTTAGTAGAGACAGGATTTTGCTCTTGCTCAGGCTGGTCTCCAACTCCTTAGCTCAGGCAATCCACCTGCCTTGGCCTCCCAGAGTGCTAGGATTATAGGCGTGTGCCTCTGCACCTGGCTGGGATAGGCACTTTTAAAGCCATTTGTCCACTTTGTGGTAGATCATAAGCCAGCTTTTAGGGCTACTGCCTTGAGTTCACAAGTGGGAAGACCATGGGAGACCACCTGCCCTATCTTTCCTTATGAAGGCTCTCCTTTCCTGCCCTGTCCACTGCAGCAGAGCCCACACAGCCAGCCTGAGCACACTGTCATTTCCTCTTGCTGTGTGCAAGAGTTTGAGGGTGTGTGTAGCTCTGTACACAGGGCACACTGTGCTCCTCAAGGAATTGAACACACACTCACAGCATAAGGCACCAGTGTGGCTGATATCACCTGCATTTCAAATCAGCATGTTAGTTCTTCTTAATGGACAGAGGGGCTGTGCAATGTTAAAATCTGACTCTGGAGTTTGAATTTGGATTGGAATCAGGCCCTTCCACTCGCTGGCTCGGTGACTCCTAGTGCCTCAGCTAACTTGTGCGTTGGTTGCTGCCGCTATAGGACTAGGAGCTGTGTCATAAGGTTGTTGTGAGGATTGAGTGAATTAAGTCTATAACACCGTGCCTGATCCAGGGTGAGAATGAGCTATGAGACCTCCCTTCCCTTCCAGGACAGTCTGAGAATAGGGTGGTTCTCTCTTCCCCTGTTTGGTTCGTAGGAGCAAGTCTTTTCTTAGTTGGACCCCAGGGCTCCCTTCCTGTCTTTGATCACATACAAATGATGCCCACATGACCACTAGTCTCAGTCCTTCTCTCCTTCTTGCCCCAGTCTTTCATTCCTCCCCCAGGCTATTTCCTGGCAGTTCTGCTCCCAAATGCCGATTGCTCCCCTTTTCCTCCTCAATTCTGCTTTCTAGAAATTCTTTTCAGTTTTCAGAAATCCTGTCCTTCCCTTCCCCAGCCACATGGTTGGTATCTTTCCCTCATCCAGACCCTTGACTGGGCAACACAGCACATTGTCCGTACAGACTTGCTTGTTAATCACCCTGGTGAATTTTATTTTCCTCTGACTAGACTCAAACACTTAGGACATTTTAGACCTGTTGAACAATCCCTATTAGGCTGGGGGAGTGGTGAGGAGGGTTAATGATGGTGAATTAAGAATGATAACTCCAAAAACTTAGTTACTCAGATAAAAAATATTTACTAAGAAGTCTACGTTTCTTCCTTTCTCCCTCCCTCCCTCCTTCCTCCCTCCCTTCTCCGTCCTTCCTTCCTTCCTTCCTCCCTCCCTCCCTCCTTCCTCCCTCCCTTCTCC